TGTTGCTGCTGTTGCTGCTGTTGATGCTGTTGCTGCTGTTGCTGCTGTTGCTGCTGTTGCTGCTGTTGCTGCTGTTGCTGCTGTTGCTGCTGTTGCTGCTGTTGCTGCTGCTGCTGCTGCTGCTGTTGTTGTTGTTGTGGTGGTGGTGGTGGTGGTGGTGGTGGTGTGTGTGTGTGCTTGTGTTTTGTGCGTGTTTTGTGTGTGCTTTGTGTTTGTGTTTTCGTGAGTGTGTGTGTGTGTGGCTTGGCGTGTGTTTACATATACTGTATCTATATATATATATATGTATACATGTGCGTGTTTGTCTGTATTGCATGACGTCGCAATTCCCATCCAGGTCGCTTCTACAGCACAGAAGCAGGCAAGCCCGAGAAGCAGATCTAAGCCGGTTGGCTCACATCTGAAGTGCACTCGGAGGCGCGTGCAACGATCGAGCGAATTCTGGCTTTCTGTCTTTTGATTGGGATTTGGTCAGATGTTTGTCCAAGCAGCTTTGTCACAAGAGCGCTAACGTGTTTCACACACGCAACAATCCGCTTGAATGGCGAACGCTTTGTCAGACCCGACATGCAGCATACCGAGAGGCTTGGCTCAGATTCACAAGACTTAGAGGTTGGACTGGTTAGTTTGCGGGCTTGCTGATGCCAGAAGATTGTGATCTCCATTTAGGTACTCTGCACAGAATGCAAGTCTACTTGTTGGGGGAGGGGGGGCATGTTGCAAGCGCCACCCTTCCAAGCAAACAGCAAGCCACTCAAATAGGAGCAAATCAAAGCAGCAAGCGCCTTCAAACTAAAATGCCATGAAAACTAATGAGGCAATAAGATAGGCCCAGGGCCATTAGGTTGCGGCAGCTTTGGCCGCAACAGACGCCACGTGAGTGCAAAACACACGCCGGGTTCTGCCAGGTTGCGCGCAGCGTGGCGCCCTCGGCAGCCAAGCCTGGAGAGGCCCGACAACTGCGCGGCATCGTTGGATTTCAGACCTGTTTGCAGGGCAATCTCCAAACTGCTTTGTTGGAGCAGAGCATGTGCACTTTCACTCCCTTCCGCCCTATATATGAACTGCAGGCCACAGGCCATGCGTACACGCGTAGATGCGAGAAGCACCCACTGAGTGAGGGGATAGTTTTGACCTCCTAACTCGGCCTCAATCTCTTCAGCCTTCCGAGAGCTTTTTGGTGTAACTGGGCAAAAGGCCAAATTGCTCTTTGTCAAAACCAGGCTCCCCCCCCCAAAACAAACGACTAGTTTCCTCTTGGTGTCCCTTGAGCACAAAAAGCAGGACCCCTAGTCTTGAGATATCCCCGAACGTGCATTCAAGCGAAATCTGTCCGAGCCCTGAAAAACAAACTGACTGGCCCGCTTGCGAAGGGCGAACGCAAAATGTCCGCTACATGCTCAGCCCCACACAACCCCACCTCCAATTCAAGCCCCCCCCCTCCAAAAAGAAAAGAAAAAACAATCATGTGGTCCCAAAACTGGGTGAACCAAAGTGATATCCTAAAAATGATCCTCTAAATGGTGTAAAGGCAAACCGGGACCGCCGGGACCCAAGAGTAATTTCGTAGAAACCCAGACTGCCGCCACCTCAAGTTTAGTATTGAGGCCCCGGACGGAGACGGTGCCAGGCGCCAGTCGCGGCAGCAGCGCCGTGGGCGAGCATCCGCGCCTTGGCCCCACCTGCGGCGCACTGGCCGGTTTTGAGGGAAGCTGGGAAGGACCCGTATCTAAATAGGCTTCCTTCAAGGATACGTCCAAAAACCGCCTGCTTTACAAGAGGATCCTCTAAGCCAGCTAGTAAATTTGGCCCATGCTGGCCCACATGTATCATTTAAAACTTTAAGGGGGTCTATAAAGTTTCATTCTAGGATTCATCCTTGCCTAGGGCTTCAAGAACCTGTAAAAATGTCGTACCCTGACTAAAACATCGTGTTTTTCTCGATTTTCTGAAAACATCGTGTCTTCAGGAAAAACATTGTGTTTTTGATAAAACCCCTTAAAAATGGGCTTCTGAGGCCAAACACTCATTTAGAGCAAAGGGTCAAAGGCAAGGGTCGGGAGTGGATTCACACAGGCATCACCCATTAAGACTTCAACTGAGGGCAACGCTCTATACTGAGTATGCTTCAAATTCTAAGGACCACATTGATGCGCCTGACAGCCAGGGTGTGCAGCTGGCTTCAGTCTTGAAGCACCTTTCACAGCAACAGGCACCTGAAGACTGGCGCCAGGTCATACCGAACCAGTTTGAAGGGGGTGCTGGAATCCGAAAGCTCCTTTTGGTGCAAAACAAGACCAGGTGACAGCTTTTGAGATTGCTTTTATAAATTTTGAGTTGTTTTTAGAAAATGGGGCGGGATCCTGGCGGCTAACCGCAGAAACCCGTAGAAAACCCGTAGAAAACCCGTAGAAACCCGTAGAAAACCCGTAGAAACCCGTAGAAAGCCCGCAGCCCCAACCGAAAACATCGTGTTTTTGGAAAACATCGTGTTTTCTAACCCGTAGCTAAACCGTGGAGAACCCGTAGTAAAGCGGGGCAAACCGTGGAAATTCTATGGGTTTTTCGGGTTCAACCACGAATGCGCTAATTCGAGAATGTTGCTGGAAAATCGTGAGCAAAAGCACTGTCTTTGCTTGAGCTTGCACGCTGTTCGAAGCCAGCAAGCCCTCATCATGGCATTACTGCTTGACAAGTGTCATAAAACCGTGGTACTTTTGACTATTTGGGTCCCCGGCCTCCTTCTTTCAGATTGGAGTTGCGAAAGAGGAGTGGCGAATGAAGCTGATTTCGTTACGAGCGCAAAAGGGGAGGGCGACGGGAGATTCTGAGGTTGAGATGATGCTTCTGAGATCTTTTGAGAACGGATGACGAGTTGAAGGAATGTATGGGAAAATTCTTGAAATCGAAAATGCGGTGTTCCCGAAAACATCGTGTTTTCCCAAAAAACATCGTGTTTTTTGTAGGTATGACATTTTCATCGGTTTTTGAGGCTCCTGGTAGGTGAGAACCAGCAAGCACGGGGGGGAGGGCTCTGTGAGCCATGCATGATATAGGTAATTTGAGTTCGAAGTGCCCACAACACTATTCTAATTACTTGGCAGTGTTTTGGCTAGCTTATGAGGAGAAAAGGAATCCACGGCCTTTCGGAACTTATTTGGCTTCCGAGGAAAGGGACCACCGCCTCGCGGGGGAGGGGGTCCCCCCCCCCAATATTTCATTTTCTGACCTCCCCCCCCCCACTTCCATTTTGTCCCTGGCCGAGGGGGGTTCATTGGAAGGGGCGGGGGGGGGGGGGGGGAGGTTGCGAGGGATTGCCTCCCCTAACCAAATTTCATGGGGCTACTGTGCGCCCCTTCCACACCCATAAAATGAGGAGGAGGATGTTGTTCTACTTGCAAAAAACCGCTATGCATCTCCCCCGTCTGAAATGGAGCACCGGGCGCCTAAACATGGAACACTGAGACCGTCTGCAAGAGCAATCGGAAAATGAAGGGGGGGGTAGCCTTCTGACACGAAATTGGAAGACCTCCCCCCCCTTATATTCCATTTTCGAGGGGGTGGGGGTGGAAAGGTTCTTTCCGCACGGTCAGCTCCCAAGAAATTTTGTGGTGAACCCCCAAGGTCAGAAGCCCGCGTCGCTGACAGGCTGAGCCCAAGGCCGGCCATGGGTATGCCCTTTGAAAGCAATCACTTCAAAGCCAGGAAGACTCGGAATCGACCCCTAGCCCAACCCCCAAAAGGTGTCCTCGAAGGGGGACCATTTCGATTCGGGGTTCGGGGTCCCCCCAAACAAAAAGCGGACAATTACAGTGGCAGGGTGCCGCTGAAAGTTCTGGGCCCCTTTTGAGGCATTCCCAAACAAAGCTGCTCAAAACAGAGCCTCCTACAGAAACATATACGCTTTGCAACGCTACACATAGACACCGGGTCCCTATACACATAGCCGCTGAAGGGAGTGATTGGACAAAGATGCCAAAGGGCAACAGCTTGGGCGTCCCTTCCACTGGCCTGACTCCAAGCGCCAGGAGCCGCGGCCGGAGGCGTCCGTGCCCAACCTGGATGCGGCTGGAAGCACGAAACGTAGCACGTGTCAGGGCCTAAAATAGTCAAGATCGGAAGATAATATATCATGTGCGTAATTCTTAGCCCTTTATAGGGGAGGGGAGGGCCTATTTGGAGACAGTTCCATGTAGGAGCAGGCGGGAGCTTCTCAAAAGAGACGCCACCATCCATGAGGCACCATGCCTCCTATGCCCAAAGCCCCTGCCGGGCACCAGAGGTTCCCTCCCTCACACGGCCAAGCGGCCGTAAGCAGTAGCCACTGCGGCCCGGCAGGCCATTAAAGAGGGCTCCTGAGAGATCCAAAGCGACTCGCAGCGATTTGGGCGATACCGGCGATCGAAAACAAACTTCTGGATGTCAGCACAATCCTCCCAACAAACAGTGCGGTGTCGGCGCGGCTACATGAGCCCAACATGTACCACTTTTGGCTGACCCTGATCGGGCTTTGTCCCACCTCACAAAGCCGAGTCCGTAGCCGGCCCCGAGTCAAATGAGCGGTTTTGCGCTGATTTCCCTTCAAAGCAAGCCTCAACAAAATACAGGCGCCCCACCCAGCAAACACCCAACCTGCGACAGCCTTGTTGGCGCCGCTTGCTGCCACCAGCGTGGACACCAGAACCCCCCTCTGTAAAACAAAATGTAGAAAGTAAAGGCGAGTTCAGAGAGGGCACATTCAGAATCAGACACGCCCACATCTCGAGCCCTTCAGCACCTTCTGAACTGCTCCACCCTTTGAAAGGGGCCCGTGCACATCGCGGCATCGCCATTTCTCCGCTGCTTTCTGCGGTTCTAAGCGTCGTGCATCGGGGCGGGGTGTCCGGGAGGCGCCAACTTCAAAGGTGTTCTATGAAGGCGGCTTGTTGAAAGTGGCCTTTCGACATTTTGCAATTTCGCCTGACTCCACTAGGGGGCGAAGCCAGCCAGCTCTTGCAAATTGCCTGTGTAGGCAAGGCTCAAGCTTGTAGGCGATCAAACTACTGTGGCCGGAAGTGCTTCCACGCAAGATCGAACATCCCAAAAAGGTTTGATCCGTAGCTGAAAGGGAGCATCCAGGGAGGGAGTATCCAGGGTGCAGGTGAAGCAGCCGCGGAGGGATTTCCGGGAAAGCCTAGAACTGCAGCCGATGCCAGTTGGGGGGCCAACCTGGCAGTGGTTTCTAAGATGTGTGCTCTAACCCTCTTGTTGCAGTGCTTTGGGTTTGGGAGTGTGGATGCTTTTGGCCTTCCCAGGCGCGACTCGGCTTCCCTGCCCCGAGTCTAGTCCCAAATTCTTGCCCATCTCTTTTCAGGGCCGGCGCGGCGCTTGCTGCTCTGAAGGCACAAGTCAGCTGAATCAGCCACATTGATCCTAGGTTGAACTGCAGCCCCCCAGATGACACCACCCCACTCCCCCTTTCCAAAGACAAGAAAATGAAAGGCGGCCCTTAGGGCGCTCCCCGCCGGATTTTTATCCTTGCTCTTTTCCGGTGTGCTGAAACCGGGCAAGCTGGGCTTTTCACAAACACTGCAACAAGGCCAACCACGCGGCCTTCAATGAGGAATATGAACAGCACCCAAAGTTTCGAAACCACAACTCGCCCAAACAAGGCCAGAAGGATCCCACATTTCACGTGGAACATCGGAACACCCAACTAAATTCGACTAAATTCGACTAAATTCGACATCCGGATTCCCAACTGGTGCCTTCGCTCGCGCACCTCGCACCTCGCGCACCTCGCGCACCTCGCACCTCGCACCTCGCACCTCGCACCTCGCGCGCGAGGCTCGCGCGCAGCTCAGGCGCAGTGCCACCAGCCCGGGCTCTCGAGGCTCGTGGGCCACCCCTTGGCCTCCAACTCCGCGCGGTCCCGCGCCAAGACCTGGCGCTCGGAAAGTCGGCCGGGCAGCTGAGGAAAACAAGGAAGCCAAACCAAACGGCAGAAAACACAACAAAAGAAAGAAAGAAAGAAAGAAAGAAAGAAAGAAAGCAAGCAAGGAAGGAAGGAAGGAAGGAAGAAACAAACAAGCAAGCAAACAAACAAACAAACCAACACACAAACAAACATTCCAACAAACAAACAAGCAAGCAAGCAAGCGACTTGTTAACTTCAACAGTTGTTGCCGGCCAACTGCAACCACTTTTCGCTTTGCGTATTGGTTGGTCTTGTTTTTGTTTGCTTGCTCGCTTGCTCGCTCGTTACAGGCGGTAGAGGTGTCAGGCTGCCTTTTCCCGGCTCTGGCCCCACCAAAGCCCCAAACGAACCCCCCCCCAAAAAAAAAAAAACAAACAAAAGCAAAAACAAAAAACACACAAGTACCTGCACGGCCATGCTAACTTCCAAAAAAACACGCGTCCCAACATGAAACCAAAAACCAACAAGGCCCCCAGCCCTCAACATGACCCCAAAAATGTCCGCTTTGCTGGGTTCGGGCCGGAGCGTCGAGGCAAGCGCTCCAAGCCTTATTGAACACTGCCGGGGGGTCAGGACAGCCAATGCTTTCGGAGTTGTTGCCCGCTTTTGACGCCTATGCCATGAGCAGACTTCGGACTTGCAGAGGGCAAGCAGGGAGACTGGGAGAGATTCGAGGACATCAAGACAAGCACTACCGCGCAAGGGTCCAGGAGAAGGGTGGATACTGTTCAACCAAGCCTCGCCACGATCATAGGGCAACAATTTAACAATCATGCAGCCCCTTACGCCAGGACTACAGCCATTTCAACGCACATCAACAAACACACAAGGACTCCGCCATCGGCTCAATGGAAAGTCGCAGGGTTTGCAAGGATCCAAACGGCTACGGAGAAGGCCATGAACTGAGGGTCCAGCCTCCGGCGTGGCAGCCTCTCGGTAGATCATCCGCCTGACCCCACCCCATGCCCCCCCCCCTCCCCACCCCCGCCCCCTGCCCCGCCCTGCAGAGCCACCAGCGCAGCCCGTGGAAATCTGCGAGCTCAGTTTGCCCCAAGCCCATGGTTGTCATGCAAAAGTGAATGCGGCCTGTTTTGCAAGCTGAGTTTGAATGCCCTTGGCCCGTCGCCAAGTGGATCCCACCAATGGTTGCCAGTGGCCAATGCCTACACAGGGCTCGCCATATTTCCCACCAAGTTTGCCACTAAGTTGGAGAAGCCTTTTGATGTCAATGTGAAGCAGCCATGGTTCATCCCAGATGGGCCCCTTTCAGCCCCTTCGCGATCTTTTCGGCGCGCGTTGGCTCAGTTTACATTAAAAGCAGGAGCGCCACACAATGAAACACATGCGGCAAACAACCAGGGACGCAACCTCGACAAAACACTTTGATAACCCTCAGTTAAAATTTGGGTCGGCGGATGTTGTTGGCTTGGGGGGTTGAACCCCAAGCAATTGCCCAGAGATAGTCAGGGGTCAGCCCTCCAAACTTTTCAAACCACCAACCCAAAGCAGCGACGCAAGGCCAGGTGGCAAAGCCAACCTGAAAGCCAAAAAGATGAAAACGGCCCCTTTCTTTGGGAACAAGGCCAACAACGCACGTATTTCACTTTGTCACCAAATAGGCAGGAAAACCCCAAAATACGTGGCTTCCCTCTGGCCTCTCCCAACAAGAAACAAAACCTCAAAAGGAGCACGCTTTTTCGAATGCCTGGGCCCTGAGCAACCAACCCTTTGCTCACTGGACACAAACAAATACGGGATTACCACACATTCTGGGCGTTGTTACCCTTTTGCAGCATTGTTACCCCATATTTGGCGTGGCTACCTCACCATCTGACAGAAAAGTACGGCGCGCGTCTTCGCCCTTGTCGGGTTTCAAAAAAATCGTGACCAAGGCACTGCAGGCCATCTGGATCCTCCTCCCGGTCGAAGCTCCAGTCTACATGCCCCTCAGCCACTGGCTCGTCCTGCGTTGCAAAGGATCGTCTGTTTTCGGCCACGTATACATATATATATATACATATATATATATATATGTGAAAACATATAATTACATATATGTATATCTGTGGGCATACATATATATATATATGTGTATATATATATATATATGTGTGTGTGTGTGTATGTGTAAAGGTGCACTTTATCCATATACATGTGTATATACATATATATATATATATTTCTATATACAGGTTAATTGTGTTGAATTGTTTACTTATTGACTTGCTTATTGATTGACTTGTTGATTAATTATTATAATATGTTTTATATATATATATATATATATTGTATGTGTGTGTTATTTCTATAGGGATGTTGCTTAATGCATCTATTCATGTATTATTTAGTGATGTATTTAAATTGCGCATGTTCACCATGCATGTATGTGAGAGTGTGTTGAAAGGCGCAGAAAGTAAATAGGCAAATGGATGGATACAAAAGTTCTCTCTCTCTCTCTCTCTGTGGCACCGTCCCTGGAATGTGGGATGTTGAGCCAACAACGGCGTGGCGCAAAGTTCGAGCCTTGGGCCGCTGCTCTTCTGCGGTTTGGTGACTAGACAGAAAGCGCACAAACGTCCGCAAAGACCGCGTTGGATACGAAGCATATGTGGCACAAATGTCATCAAGACACACACCACGTCCTGAATTGAAAGGACTTATAAATTTCTGCAAATCCTGTACTTCCGAAGGTTCTAGCTGCCCTCATCGCATTTGTCTCGTGAGCAAGTAAACTGCGTGCAACCGGCAGCGGGGTGGGCTCAGCATGTTGGATTGGTGTGGCAAAAGCATCATAGTGATCAATGAGCATTGGGACAGCTGCGCTCCGAGTTGGCGGATGATATGGATTTGTTTTGCACCCAGCGCTGCATCAGCCACAGCCACGCACTAGGAGCCTAGAGCCCCCCGGCACTGACCATGGCACTGGCTCTCCGTTTTTTTTGTCAACCGGACGGCGTGCACCACATGCAAACTCTCAATCCGGTAGCGATATGGAGGTAAGTAATAGGATGCTTGAAGCCTTCCGTTTAACTCACCCCCCTTCAGCAAAAGACATGCGGCTTCCTTTGGTTTCCCTTCAGCCTCCCCACCATATCACGTCCTCGTCGTCATGATGGTCCTCCAGGTAGGGGTGCCGCAGGGCGTCGTGCGCCGTGAGCCGCTTGTTGGGGTCGAACTGCAGCAGCTGATCCAGGAGGTCGCACTGCACCTCCTAAACGGCAGGGGACTGGTCGGTTCAGTCCCCCTGTCCGTTCTAACAATCTTCCGCTGCGCGGAGTATCCCAAAAGAGGGTGGGATTTTCTCACTCAGACGGCACCTTTGGAATTAGAAGGACATTCGTATCAGTTCAGCAGCTCAAGGTGGTTCAACATCGGTAAACAAGCGGATCTGCCAAGCCT